AGTGGAGCTAAGCAATCAGTGATTATTGTTTGTTCAATACAGGAATACTGTAATTGTGTAATACCGAAATTCGACACAATAACGACAATGAACTAAAATTATATTAAGAAAAATTTCACATAGCATACCATGTTTTACCAAAATCTGCAGACCGCTCGATAATCATTGCTGCCGGTCGAAAAGACTTAAAAGTCATGATCAGATGGGTAAAGTGGAACTCAGCTTCTAGATCAAACCTGATTGAAACGTTCTGTACACCATTTTCAGACTGCCACCAATTTCGTGTACGTTCCTCGTACGATTCAGATACAACATTCTCTATCCTAAAAAGAAAGACTTTAATGAAGAACTGTCCAAGGATGTTTACGTATATCAACGCCAAAGATAAATAATATTCAAGATTTTCATTATTTTAATAAACCAAATGTAACAAAGTTATTTGTTTGAGCACACTATTATCAATTTGTTAACTCTTACTAAATTACAAAAAAGAATCTGGTGTTTGATTACCTGTGACTCAGCCTGTATGGATCACCAGACGGCCGCCATTCTGTCCTACTATCACAATAGAAACATTTTGTTTGCTCTTCCAGATGGGATACGATACAGTACCTCTGTCTCCCTCTTAGACCGCAGGTAGATGTTGCACTTAATCGATGTTTTCTACCGATCAAAAGATTACCGGTTTCTGGATAACAAGAACTATCCCGGCATGTATCTTCTTCGACTGAAAATCATAGTGCTGTTCCGTTGAGACAGGTTTACTGTATGCCAAAGCTGAACGTCAATTAATAACTTGTTGGCAACATTCAGATGACAGTTTAGCTGTTAAATATTATTGGAAATGGGTCTAATCTGATTAACAAGATAAAAGCTAAAATGAGGCAAGCTCCACTATTAATGTTTCTGATTAAACTCATACTGTTTGTTGTTCGACTTTTTTTCTTCACTACTTAAAATACTAATTGTGTTTAGCTTCTTCCATTCTTGTCTTTCAAAATCATTGTCTGCCAAAAATAAAAAAATTTTTTATCCGCAAGAAAGTTTATTTTGACTAATTGAGAAAGTACAAAAAATTTCAT